TGCCGATGAGTCGGATGGCCAAGAGAATGCCATGTTTGCCAGGTCGTGCAACCATATTGCGAAGAGTGGGAGCCCTGGACTATAAACTTGGGCATGATCATAGCAGAGATCTTGCCAAGGATGCGTGCAACGCATCATGTTGAGTGTCTTTCCTTCGGGAGAAGACTTTGGGTTGCCTGAAAGCATTGCCAAGGTGAGAAAACAGATTCGAGGGTATAGCAAAGCTTCGAAATGGGGCGAGTTTCCAAGTTAGAAGGTGTCATCATTCTGGAAAGGGGTTTGTCGAATGATCGGGGACCGAGAGTGTCCAAGTGCAAGGCACACCGAACCGGGAAGTCGTGCTAGCAGGACCAAGAGAGTACCTGGCTATAGGGCGAGTATTGAAGTACTACCTAGAGCATTGGCTACTTGCTGAGGAAGTGACAACTGGAAAACAAAGAGCTTTGTTCGGAAAGGCGGCGATGCTATTACTTTGGGAATGTAGTACTCACCAAAGGTCGTCCCAAGTGCTGGCCGAATGCCAAGTGGGACGACAGTGCTAACATGTATCCTCCACATTGAGTATGGGAGGATCCCGCCTATGCAAGAGGCATATGGGCGAAGTCATGGGTCTGGAAGCGAACACATCTTCAAGGTAGTGGGCAAAGAAAGCTAAGGGAGCGGAATGCTACGTGAGCTATGCCAAGAGGGCGTCTTAATGCTACGGGAGCGAAAGGCTACGGGAGCCATGCCAAGGGCATCTTAAGGCTACGGGAGCGAAAGGCTACGGGAGCTATGCCAAAGAGGGCATCTTAAGGCTACGGGAGCGACGTCAAAAGAGCACACGATGTGCTAACATGTGAAGGAAAGCTTCAGACGGACATGAAGGCCGTGAGGGTCATGGTGTGAGTTGACTAGTGTGGGTCAATCACAAAGTTAGACACCAGAGGGTGCAAGTGCGGAGGCAATTTCCAAGTGAACATCGAATGGAGGTGAAGTGCAGAGGCACGCTTGGAAGATACTTGGGGAAGAAGTGCATGGGGCACGACTCCTTTTGAGAAAGGACTTCGAGGAAGTCCAACCCACAGGACAAAGGGAGCTTGAATAGGCATACCTGAGGGGGCAGACTCCGGGATGTCTTAAGCCATGATGTGTCATCGGGGACGATGACATTATGAGTGTGGGAGGATGTTACAACTCGCATTTTGGGGTTGTGATTTCGGCCAAGAACTGGTGAGAAAAGGTCCTTCTGATGGTCTGACGTAGAGCAGTCTACTCGGGCAACTTGGGCTTTTTAATTTTAAGCATATATAAGGGGGGTATAGGTGATGAAAGCTCCGACCTGCCTCCCCCATACGTGCTGCCACCGAGCCGTATCGAACGAGATGCCTTGGGGGCGAAACCCAAGGGCCTGCCTTGATGTCTCAAAGGAGTATCAAAGGTATCCATACGAGTTTGGGAACTCGTATGGACGGCGCAACGCCTTCGGGCTTGCGTTGGGCATCAAAGTGGCGCTGAAGGCTCGAAGTATGGGACGGCCAGCCCCCCGGGCTGCCGAATATTAGAACGGGACCTCCGTGCCGATTGGATACTTGATGCACCTGTCATAGGGGCATCATGTGTCGACTTGTAAGCATGGCTTTGGTTCAACCATGTAAGCAAGGGTCCGTTGGCCTAAAGGTGCAGGTGTGGGCGACACTGCACTACTTCAGAATGGAAGCATGCTGCAAGATGGCTATGTATGGGCATGGCACAAAAGAGGCGCATGACAATGGCCAAGGGCTAAAGGTTGCCTTACTCAGGAGAGGCAGGAGCTAGTCGCGAATGCACTAGACGAGTGTAAGCTTGAGGATTGGGCTGTGCACGCGGGAGCGATGCTCAGTCTTGGGCTAAGGACAAGACATGTCCTAAGCCAATCCCCCAGGGCGCGCATGGATTGTGATCCTAAGATGAAGCGCCACGACATGTCTAGGGCCAAGGGCCTAGGCATCTTACGGGCGGCACAAGTTGGGGCGAGCCTACGGGTGAGTCCCACCGACAGGCACAAGATCGTGCTTGAGAAATCTTGGGAAAGGAAGAAGGCTGGCCTGCAGCGAGGGGAACTGCAGGCGCCACACGGGCGAGCAGGTGCCGCTACCCAATGTAAGGATTTGGGCCCGTGACAATACTACTAGTTTAACATTGAAACATATGTAGTCAATTGGTTGGTTAAAGCTATACCATTATTTCACACCTTTGAAAGTGATCAATAGTATTTAACTGAAACGAAAGTCTAATTGGCCAACTTAGTGTAAACAATACCTGGAAAAAGATGTTAGCGTGAGCATATATAAAAAGAAGTTTTGACTAGAATATATTTACATGTCTCTCTAACATTTGACACTGTACTATAGTATACCAAATTAAATTTCATTTTTTTCCATTGAAAAAATGGCTCAAAACGATGAAGGAAGTAATAGCAAGGAACAAGATCATTTGTTGCCTATAGCCAACGTTGGTCGTATAATGAAACAAATATTACCACCAAATGCAAAAATCTCAAAAGAAGCAAAAGAAACAGTGCAAGAATGTGTATCTGAGTTCATCGGATTTGTGACCGGTGAAGCATCGGAGAAGTGCCGGAAAGAACGCCGGAAAACGGTGAACGGCGACGACGTTTGTTGGGCTTTGGGAACTCTAGGGTTTGATGATTATGGTGGTGCAATGAAGAGGTTTTTACATAGGTATAGAGAGAATGAAGGTGAGAAAGTAAATCAAGAAAGAGTTGACAATAATAGTGGAGAATTGGAGGAACGTCCAATAGGAGGATCTCAGCCAAGAAACTATAATCTCGATTAATTAGGGTTAAAATTAATTAATTATCTCATGTTTTTGTTTCTCTTGATTTTAATTCTCCTTTTTTTTTTATAATTGTTTCTTCCATAATTTCTAATTACAAAGGTTTGTATTTTTTCAAATGGAATCATGTTGAATTAAAACATTCATGTCATTGTCAAGTTGATTGAATGATTTCTCTATAAGAATTAAAGTTTTACCTTCTTTTTTTTGGGTATGGATTCACTTGATATTATACTGCAGGTTTGAATTAAGCACCTGTGGTACTATGAATTGAAGCAGATCAGGTAAGCAGAAAGTGTACTAGATTAAAGCAGTATTAATTTTTTTTTTTTTTTTTTTTTTTTTTTTTTTTTTTTTTTTTGGGTCTCGAATCGATTTGTTTCCTTAGAAATTTGCAACTTTATGGTTGTGTTTGATATGAAGAAAAACAAATTCAAAAAATATTTTCAGCAAAATACGTTTTAGAAGATATTTTGTCACACTATTCATCACTCAATAAAAGTTAAAAACTATTTCAAATGAACTATTTGAGAAAAACATAAATGGAGAAAGTCATTTTACATCTTTTGATGGAAAATATTTTTCAAGAAAGTGTACCTTTTTGCTGTTTGGTTGCGAAAATGACTTGTTTTCCGAAAAATATTTTTCATGGTACCAGATAATACACCCTATGTACATAGGCTATATACTACTAATTTGGAAATATAAACAAGATCATATGGTTCATGCCATTAGCTAGAAGAGTTGATGAGTACTGATTGGTCCTTAACTTAGGCTAGTTTTCTCTTTCTTTAGGGTTTGTTTGGTTTGAAGTGGGAAATAGGGAAGGAAAAAATGGATCAGAAGATGCTGATCTAGAGCAAAATTTACTACTAAACTATACATATGTATATACATCTTATTCAGTGTTTCTATTCTCGTTCTTTTCATTCCAGTCCTAATTAATTACAACGCTAATTCCCCCAATGAGTATATACATTGAAACAAACATCAAAAGATTGGTCCAGAAATTTGAAAGGTGATTGTCCACAATTGCGTCAAATAATCCTCCAAAAATTAATTTCATCTATACAAAATAGTTGAAGAAATTAAATGGACTTGGCTAACATTAGATTTAGATAATGATCAAAGGAGATATAAAGGTTAATTTAGTTAAATGAATTGTATGGACCCCTTGTTAGTGACTTAGATACTAATAGGAGAATTTCTAAATCAACATTTAAGGTGAGCTTTGAATAGATTCAAAGAACAGAAAATAGAAGTTGATAGATGAGACGAGTAACTTTCGTTGTTATTAGTCTTCTTTCCTTTGCTTTCTATTCCTTTTAGAAGTTATTAGACGAGAATGATTTCATTGTTGTTTTCGCTTGGTGGGGTAAGGTCGGCATACATCTCATTCATCCTTCCTGAACTCTATTCACTCTAGACCCTACTCGTAGGATCGTCGTACCAGATATTTTGTTATTGCTGTATTGTTCTTTCCGGTTGTAGACAAAATATTCTAAGTATTGATCAGGAGATAAAAGAGGAGAAACACCCTTTAATTTTAGAAACCAACTGTTGTCCTACACATGAAATTAGATGTATAAAGCCGTTAGGCTGCAATTCTGTCATGAAATTATACTCGGTGACATATTCAAAATTTAGATGATGTGAATACTGAATTGAGAATATATTCTAAAATTTACTCCATCTTACTCTATTTATATACTTAGTTGTGCCAAATGTATATGAAATCCAATAAAAAAGCACTAGATTTTGCCTAACCTGCAAAATTTAGATGGTTGAGTTTGCCACTAATATAATTATACTTTGAGTAAGTTTTTCATTAAACAAAAGCATACTGCTCAGTGAAACTTAAATGGAAGGATTAGGATATGCAGAAAGTTCCTGCTTCGTTTCCTAAGGTCTATTCAGTTAAATAAAGTGTGTATAATAGCTGTTTGACTTATAAATATATCATCCTCTTTTGTCTACTTCTTAATCTCCTTTATCTTCGCTATTTCTTGATAACCAATCGTAGCTCTTTCCTTTATGCTTCCTATTCCTTCAAATCAATCAAATAATTTTTTCTTATGTGGAAAATGAAGTCCTTTCCTTTCTTTCCTATTACTTCAGATTAATCATACCTGTTTTCCTTTATTTTCCCACTATATATGGCTTATGGGCTATGCTTAAGCAAAGTTCATGTCGATTGTGAAGTACTCCTCTATATTGCATGTTCCCAATTCTTTATAATATTACGGGTCGTATGGTACAATGTATAAGAATAGTATTGAATATGATGTATTTGTAATGTTGAGATTGATAATGCTGAAATTATTTTTTATCGAATGTTTAGTTTGATGTATTAAAGATTTTGAAATGATGTTTCTATCTTTATACATGCTTCTCCATGTATTAAAAATCATGATATTGCTAATGCCATGATTTGCTATGTGCATGTAAGATCAAACTGAATAGGATGTATAACTAATACAACAAGAGATTAATAATACCCAAGCTAATACATGCATGTATTATTTTCCCTTATACATCCTACAAAATGACTTCTTAATGTATTTAAACATGTTGTACCAAATTGTTTATTTGCCTTAATTTTCAAGTCACTACTCTTCCACTTATTAAGTGATGTTTAATTACCTGTATGTGTTTATCATGATGGTATAATGTTTTTTCATGTTAGCGCATAAAAAAGTTAAACTCTTTAATTTTATATACTAAATATAGATACTAGGGAATTATATGATCTCTCGTGCAGGCATTACCTCAAAAGAAAGAAAAAGGTATGCTTTGTGAATATCTATATGATTTGAAACCATCGAATTTCTGTGATCTCTTTCTTTTTGTTTGAGAAAATTATTTTATTATCGAGTGTGTCTGTCTATATATATATTCGATGGTTGATTGTGACTATGAAGATTGTACCCATTTATGTTAGACTCTGTTTGCATATAATATAGAATTTACTATTAATTTATTTCATTAAATCTTTAAACTTTGTAACGAACCATTTCTTTTCATATTCCCACTTCGTTTAGACAAATATCGCATGAGAGAATACTCTTAAAATATGTACTTCACTAATTAATAAGTAGCACGTTTGAAGAGAGCCTTACAGTAACGATAAGTTTTTCACTTGTGACATATAAGTCACTGGTTCGAGTCGTGAAATTAGTCACTGATGCTTGCATTAGGGTAGACTGCCTACATCATACTCCCTTGGGGTGCGACTATTTTCCGGATCCTGCCGCAAGACATTTCGTGCAACGGACTACCATTTTTTTTTGTTTTTAATAAATACTACGTAAGAAGTCGGAACTATTTGATAAAACCAATCATAAAAGAGAAAACTGTTACCACATATATTTAGTTATTCAATGGAGAAAGACTTCTGTTTTACATTGAGAACTGTTTTTCGAAATGCACCAATATTGTAAGAGTAAGATATGTCACATTGTAGCAAACATCTTACCCTATACAAAACATGTCCCTATCTTTGCAGACATGGAAAATATAAATACTTTAATTTTGTCTAAATCCCTTGTGTTGGTAAAGCAAGAGATGAGGAACATGAACTTCTAACTTTATGTGGTTTGTCTGGTTTTGAGGCTTTTTGTTTCTACATATTTTTGTCCATGAAATTGCCTTTTAGCAAATTAATCTTGATATATTGTACCTGGTTTTATGTACTGGAATTATGTCTCTTGCTTTCTTCCACTCATTACGTATTATCCCGTTATAATTACGGATATTAAAATGATAAAGCTATACGAAAAGAAAAACAAAATATACTGTCAAAAAGCTATTCCGCTGCCGGGGCTCGAACCCGGATTCCTTTAATAATGGGAATTGCCAGTGCAACAGGAGATTTGATATGCTCTAAAATTGGAAAATAATTTAATTAATTGGACATATAAGTTACATGTAACCTCCAAGTTTTTTCTTTGGATAAATGAAACTTTTATTTTTCCTCTCAAATTAGGGTAGTTAGCAAATTTAGAAAAGTATCTATAGTGTATAACACTATTTTTCTCTTCTCTTTGTTTTTTCTTTAATTTTTCCATCTTCTTTTCCCTGAAATTTCTCACTTATTTTTATTACATGTTTTCCGGGTGAGCACCTAAATAAATGATATTTGAACACCTAAATACATGATTGTTTACCCTTAAAATTGAATACCAATTAAACTTATAATGAGGTTCTAAGGATACGCGATTTCACTTAATACCGACAGACAAATATGAAGATTAATAACAGAAATGAACTATAAAATAAAGCGAACCAGTATTGAAATGGAATTCAACCCTCGAGCTAGGGTGCCCTCGAACTGATTGATACCAAGATAGTTAAAAATACAACAAGCTGATGAACAAGAGAGTATAAGCTAAAGAGAGAGCGTTACATTGACTTTTTTACGTGAGAACAATGTGTCTTACAAAATGGTTAATACTCCCCTTTATATAGTAGAGGAGTTCTACTTATGGTATAACTCCAATTACAAAAGAAAATCCCATGATTAGCTAATTAACCGTTTCTGATTTGATCCGTTCCGAGATTTACGCCATGATCCTCGATCAGTCACTGAGGTTTACGTCGTGATCCTCGACCAGTCACGGATATCCCGCCTTTTTATTATTGTGCTATCTTCGATCTTGCTCGATGTCTGTATTGTTTGGCTTCGATCGCTACTAGCCTCGATCTTGACAGGTACCTCAGTTCTGAACTCGGTACCTTATCCTCGTAAGATGGCCTATTCCATTACGAGGCCATCCTTTGATGTAAACTCCCGGTCTCGGTCAATTAGTAAAATCGGGTGGGCCCGATTTTAACTGTATACAGATAGTCCCCTCGTTATTTTGGAGTCTAATGACAATAAATGAATTGAGCCTTCGATTTTCTATCTCGACCTGTCATGATGTCATCCTTGTGACGTAAGCGACGGAAGTGATTGAAACGTCCCGTCTGTACAGTTACCAAGGCATTAAATGCACGTCAGTCGATGGTCAGCCACCGCCAATATTGAACCATCGTTGTGAAATTTATAAATAGCCCCTCTCTCCACCATTTTGAATTTTTACTTTCAGATTTTCAATCTCCAAAGCTTTTTATATCT